ATTCACGTTCTCTATGTGAAGTTTGTATACTCACAAGAATTTAAAGCTCATCCTTATCATTAAGAGACTGAAAATTTAATTTATACGTAATAACTTCATTTTGCAATACTTTTTGAACTTTTATTATAATATAATAAAAGAATATTGTATAAAACGCGCTCGAGCTCGTTTTATCTTTCTATATATATTAATTACTAGATAGTGAATATTTTACTGTTTACTATCCGGTTCCACGATATAATTTTATAATCATTAGAGTACAATCCCTTGCAAAATGAATTATTTTTCTAATGGAAAACGCGCCATTTTGCATTTGTAAAAAACACCTACAATAAAGGAGAGGGAGCCATTTATCAACACATCAACGGATTCAATGTTAAAAATCCAAATTTAAGCAAGAACTGCTCCTAAATCTTGTTTCACAACATTCATGCAAAATACACAGTATTTCTATAAACATTTTAATGCCATTCAGAGCAATGAGTATAAGTGAAAAATATTTTCCAACGTGAGTGGATACAAAAAAAAAGTATAGAAATAAATTGAATTCTGAATATGTGATGCGCTTGCAATTAATGTAAGCACATAACTCAGTGGCTAAACATAAAGCATTGGTAAGTGGCCCTTGGATCACAGATCAATATTATTAATGAGTAAATTATATTAAAAAAAGATAAATTTTTTTTAGTAATACATGCAATACTTTTTTCATTACTTTTATATAAAATACCTATAACATGTTGATCTACTTTAAATATTATTTTGGTATATTTTCTTCAGTGGCGTAACGGAGAATATTAGCCCCCTCAGTTAGTGAGTGAGTGAGTTTGGTGTTTTATGGCGCAAGAGCCAGTTTTGACTATACTGCGCCAAACATTCATAGGTCTGTGGTCTGACGGGAAAAGAAGAAAAGGAGAAATTGAATGACAAGAACGAGGGTCGAAAAATAGAGAAGGATCACTGGGTACCTTGTCGTGACACCCAAGCTTACCAAAGATAGTAAAACCCTTGGGAAAAGGAAAAGATCAAATTAGGTACCTCGGATTAGACACCTGTACCACCTAAAGAAGGTGAGTTCTGAGCCCCCCTTGCAAAGTTATTATGTTTGGGGCCCAAAATCGTATTTGGTGTCGGCCAAGCTTTGGGCCTCCAAGAATCCTACGTTCTCAGATGATGGGTTTTGAGGGGACGCAAGTGTTATGCCCCTGTTCTAAGGCGTGTGCTGAATAGGATTCTACGAAAATACTTTCTTGTTCTAAGGGCTCCGTGAGTTGAAACAGTTTAAAGACCACTGTTCTAAGGTATGGAGATTAGAAGAAAAAAAATTTTTAATAAATTTCAAAATTTAATATAGTGCCATAAAAGTGTCGAATTTTTGAAAAAATTGGAAAAAAGATTAGATTGGTTAGATGATTTTAAACCAAAAATATAATTATTTTCTATTGTATAAGTAATCAAAAGTAATGATTACTGATTGGTGAGTAGTACAGTTTAACATTACAACATTTCGTAACCCAGCTTTCTTTCCCAGCATCATCGAATCAGTCCGATCCAAGCTTTTATGTCTTCCGCTTTATCGCATTCTGTAATTTCACCTGAGTGATTCTTTTTTTTAATATTTTATACTATAAAGAAGCTGCTGTGTGTACCTGATTTTTTTTCTTGTAACTATTTAGTAAGTGTCCTCTCATCGCAAATGACGCTGAAAAGTTTTAAATTGCTTATTTTATTTTAACAAGAATTACTTTGACATTTTAACATAAAAAAGCTGAAATACTTTAACTTCATTCCCCTTTTGGCAATACTTAGTCCAAAAATTTATTTTTCATTTTACTTTTCCCTTTTTCTATACATTATAGAACATTTTTTTGCTCATAGGTAGGTCTTAAAGTGCTAAAGAAAAACATTCGAACCATCCTAGTATATATGTATAATGTATGTGTGTGTATACAGACTTTTTACTAAAAACTATCTTTCACAACCTATTATAAAATACTTAAAATAAGTTAGAGATATCTGATCGTAAAACAAATGCAGAAAAACCTAAAAATATCTGAAATAATTTGAGTTACTAAAGAGTAATGGAGCTTTTGAATAAATAAATACATACACACACACACACACAAAATTTCTTTAATGGGGCAGCGTATTGGTATTTTTTACCTTTGCAGACCTAGTTCATTCTCCAGATAGCTGGTATCACTTTTTATTTCGGCACCATATAGTCGATACCAATTGCCGCAAGTAATTTTGACACTCAGTTTCCTCCCCAGAGGGTGACACCTGAGCTCTGACGATGCGAAATTGAACTTAGGAATTTAATTTTGCAGAGAACACCCAAGCACACACAAAATTGTACGTTATTCTTAGGCATTTTTTAATAACTAAATCTGGAGGAAAATCACTATCATTGTGCTTTAACACAAAGTAGGCATCCTTTTTCAATTCCTACTATTAGTTCATTCTCTCCCTAATATATTTATATATATATATATACTAGCTGGTATACCCGTTCTTCTCATGGGTGAATTGAAAAATTAAAAAATACAGATTGAAGGATAGATAAATTTTTATTGAGTTAATTTTATGTGAAAATTGCAAATTAAACAAAAAAAAAAAGCTTTTTGCATATCGCAGCTGAGCAAAAAAACAAACAAACAAAAAAAAAAAAACATGTTGTTTGTTAAATTTTAAGTCTGTAGATCTAATAGCTGATAAAAAGGGGTTTTTTTATTATTATTTATAGCTCCCGTAACTCTTGTTATTTGGATCTAAATCCGCATCATTTCTTATCGCGTCTTGCAAATATATATAATTTTCTACTAGCAGTTTCGTTCGGTTCAGGGCAATAAACCTTAAGCAATCACTCTCCTCTTTGACGTACATGTCCATCAAAAACTGAAAAAAAGAGAAGTCTATATGGAAGCAATAAATTAAAATTGTTGCGACGTACCATCATATGATAAGCATAAAAGTCTTTGCAGGACACTTTTTCGTATGGTATGGGTTGTATTGTAACTGGGTTTATCTGAGGAATATCCAAACTGTATCCCTCTTGTCCTTTCCAAAAAGCTATCGGGTTTTCGAGAGCATCATAAAATCTATGAGTGTCCGGAACTCTAGTAAGCCTGCCATCGTACTCCTGAATAACGATGTCCCGAGACGCTGTTTGTTCACTACTAACTACTACGACAGCTATTTCATTTGTATTCGGGATAATGAATCGTCTTTCGTGTTCACCTCGTGGTACACGATCTGGGTGTTACACAACCTTGTAATTATCGCTGGTCACTCTATCTTTAGTCATTTTAAATTCATTCACTAAAATGATGTGATCATGTAGAACTTGTATTTTTTTAACTGTGTTTCTTTCCACACCTTGTACGTACTCAGAACGCCTATTAACTTGGGCTTCCTTATTGTCCATGAAATAAATTTGCATAAATTTTGGTTGAGTATTGGTAGCAGAAAGCAAAGAGCTAATTGTGTGGTATATTTGCCCTTAGATTTGCCCTTGGAAAGTCGAGTCAAAATCCTTGCATCGAAACAATGTTATCCGCCCCAAAAGATGTCATATGGAGGCATGTATTGTATTTCCTTATGTTTTTCGAAAACGGTGAAACTCATCTGTTTCATAAAAGAAAAGTTCTTTAAGAAGTTCAACTGGCTCCTCTATTGAAGAAAGAGCTATTTTTCTTCCCGAAGAACAGCAGCTTCCTCTTTCCATTTAAGAGCACCCCAAAATCAGCATTCTTTATTCTCATCGCTTCTATTTTTATAAGGTTGGGGCTTTCGTAATCAAATGCCTCGTCATATTCAAATGCAGATTTATCGAATATACCCCCACGTGTTTCTTGTGAATATTTGACGTCGCTGTTGTGCCCTTTCAGCAACAGCGTGTCTGCGGGATTCAGCAGCTTCAACGGTTTCCGTATCTCTTTGAGACGCCTTGTAAGTCGCCTGCTGAAGACACCGAGCTTGGGACTATTCAGGTGTCTCAGCAACCCGTTGAGATACGAGATATTTAGTGTTCTGTTGAAGTCGAGCTTGGGACTGCTCTGGTGTCTCAGCAGCTCTGTGAGCTGCCTTACACTCCGCCTGTTTAAAGCCTTCGCAGTTCAGCTAGTGGAAACATTTCGCTAAGTCCTGCTACTTTCATAGCTCGAGCTTTATTAGAGCTTTGGGAAAGATTAGACTAACGCTTTCGCGGCATAATTCTTGGTAGGTACTTTTTCTACACTTCCAAAAAATACATTACCGTAGTTACATATTTTTTAATTCTTAAAAAATGCAATACTTGCCTATTCAATTAAAATTATAGAGTTATAATTAACTACTAACCACAAACAAATTATGCAAATTTGTCCAAATGATGTAGTGTGAAAGACAAATTTTATCTACTTTAAATACCAGAAGCGATAAAAGTATTTATTTTGATATAAGGATCAATTTATTAGTTCCAAACGTGCAATTATCAGTTTTTATTGTATATATGGTTCACTATTTTGGCAATAATGGCTTATACATAAAAGATAGTTATATGCTGTCGCGCGCTTTCTTGCAGATGGCAGAATTTTTTCATACTTAGCAATTATAGTTATATTTTGGACACTTCACGCAATATCTTTATAAATTATAGCCTATGTGTTATTCTGAAGTATAAGCTATATTATTGTAAAATTTTATTAAAATCCATTCAGATGTTTTTGCGTGAAAGAATAACAAACATACATACACACATACAAACTTTCACTTTTATAATATTAGTTAGGATATGTATATATATATATATATCTAATTCAAATTTTCAATCGTTAATAAAATACTTTTTATTCATCCATTAAAGTTCAAAGACATTTTTTAAAACTTATTGAGGTTAACACTTGATGTTAATACATTTTTTTAAATATTAATTCATTAATTAAATTAAAAATGAATAAATAGTAACAAACAAAAGTAATCGTCTAACAGCATGTATAGAAAGGAAAATCATTCGTTGTGTCCCTGTAGCGCAGTGGATAGCGTGTAGGACTTCTAATCCAAAAGTCGTGGGTTTCAATCCCCCCTGGGATGGCCTAATTTCTGAGAATGGGATTTCTTTTTACTATACAATTTTATTAGAATAATTAAATTTAATTAATGTATAAACTATAACAAAAAAAAAACAGTCCAACACCCTATATAGAAAGAAAAATTGCAAGGAAAATCGTTTTCTATTTTGTCACTTACTAGTGTGATTTTGTCATATGTATATATATATATTGTAACTATTTAATAAAAAATAACTAAAATAAAAAAAAATTATGTTGACCTAAATAGGAATTGACAGAAAAAAATTTTTTTGATGTTACTTGTTTATTACTAATTGTTGATTTTTAACGCCGTGATATGCCTTCCTGTGTTAATTATTCAAAAGATCCAATTTAATTCTATTTTGATACAGTGGAATCGCTAAGACAGAAATCGAAAATTTTTGGCATTCCACGTAACCAAGACAACCGTGACTTGGTTTATCTCAGACTGTTAATAAACTAAAATTATATACAAATAAAAAGAAAATCTCCTGTATGCTTCAAAACATTTCTAGTATTGCTTTTTTATCTTAAAGGTATTTTTAAGTTTTTCCCCTATAAAATACCGTAAATCACATTGAGTATGTTTCACATTCCCTCAATTTAATTAAACCCCCCTTAGATGTCACCAACGCAAACACCATTCGCGGCGCTAGATGTCATCCCCGGGTGGCGTGAGCAGTTCATTACCACTTCTTTAAAGATTTACACATCCCCCAACAAGAGATCTAAAACGTTTAATGAATTCCATTCATTAATCAGATCGATCGCCAGAAAAGAATCCTGGAAGGTGACATTGACTTCACCCCCCACTTGGTATTCGTGATCCGTACCAACTCGAAGTGTTTGGAGACACTGGAAAATCTCTTTCAAATACGGGATGGATCATTAACCAAATGTTAATAGCCTCTTCGGTTATGCAGGAGTCGACTGTAACCGTAATTGGGGGGTATTTTAATCGCCGCGCGGAAGGAAAAGGTGGAACCGTCGGAGATTCTTTTTCACTGTACGAGAAGTGAAGGGCTAAATAAAAAATTCGATTCGCCATTGTTAGTGGATGGGAATTTTGTTGCTTGGTTTTGTATCGATACGTGCTGGGCGCTTGTGAGACGTTTCTAAATGTGAAATAAAAATTTTAGGTATTATTTATATGAAAACAATAGAAAACAATTAATATATTTAAAAAAAATTAAGTTGGTCAACCATGAAAACTAAGGGTCAACAAAGAACAAGTCCACTCAGGTCAAAAAATTTATTTAAGTTATTTTTTATTAAATAATTACAATTAATATAAATATGACAGAATCACAATATTAAGTGGCGAAACACCTTTTAAATTAAAATTAAAAATTTTTTAACCACATTAAATTTGCAATTACATTTTTTTAATAGAAGTTGTATGTAATAGGTAAGAATTTATCTTAAAACCAGTGTAAAAGGAATGCTGACGTGTCTAACTATAGCGTATGATTATTCAGGTTAAGTTGAATCTCTTCATAACAAGTTTAACAAAAGCTGTTTTATCCAATGGGGCTGCCATCTAGAGGAAAAATATCGACTGAAATATATCTCTTAAACAATAATTCATTAAATAAATTTAATTATTAATTAATATTTGAAAAAACTGTATTTACATCAAGTGTCATCCACTACAAGTTTTAAAAAAATGCATTTGAACTTGAGTGGATGGATAAAAAGTATTTTACTAACGACTGAAAAGTTTAGCAAGATATATAAATAAATATATATAGGGAGATCGTGAACTAATAGTAAGAATTGAATAATGAGGATAAATTAGCGTCACAAAATGTAATGAAATAAAATTTTAGTGACCTTTTTACTATATATTTGTACTGAATTAATGACATGAGGCAACAAAATGCAGCAGTTCACGTTGTACTATTCATTTATCGATAATCATCAGATTTTAGTTATTTATATTGTAAACCAGTGATTCCCAAAATGGTTTATATGGACCCCCAGGGGTCTATGACGACCTGCAAGGGGTCCACGTCAGCGAAAAAATAATTTGGGGGGTCCATGAGGTGTAAATGAGGGTCTACGATAACCTAAACTAGATCGTGACTTTAATTTTAAAAGAACATTTAATCAAGTGTGAGCCTATTTAATAGCTTTATTTACTGAATTTATTGGGTTTAATTTGCAGCTATAAGGCGACAGTATAAATTTTATTGAAAAAGGACCATCATTTCAGTGTTTCTTACCAGAATCAAGCTAAAGCTATATACAACTGGACGTCGCGAATTTTAACAGTTTACCAATTTGTCACAGACAATCTGCCAGAAAAATGACGTTTTAACCTATGTTCAGCTTTTCAGCAAATGCCCTTTACTCAGGTTTTGAAAATAGGTTTGAGAATGCTTTGACTATGGTAATATCACAATAGGTAATGAATTCATGTTGTCACATTAAAAAAAATTCTGATTAATAAAGGAACTGATTTTAATAGCCTTAACGATGATGTCATGAACGAATATCACAGCAATTTTGGCTTTAAAAAGGTATATCTGTTATTTATCGCAAATTATGGAACACATAAAGAAAGTTTTTAATTGCTTTTCCCATGAAAGAGGAGTTTTATCACTCTTGTGCCAATCACCAAAATAAAAACAGAAAGAAAGATATTGGATACTACTAACCGAGGAGATTTAGGGTCAAACCTGAAAAGATTAAAGCCAAAGGTTGAAAATTTGTTATAGAAGAGAGAGCAAAAGATTCATCCCACCTATTAAAATATTTGTTTGTTGCTCAGTCATTTAGGTAACAATTATTATTTCGTATATTAATTTAATTAATTCGCATGTGTTTTTCTTAAGTTTTAAATACTCTACTTAACTACAGTTAGAAACATAAAACTTTTAATGTAAGTAGTGCTATACCAGCTATCAAAAAACATTTAAGGTGATAAATTTGTAAAAAATTTTGTATTAGGTAAGTAGGGGGCTACCAAAAACCCAAAAAATTTTCAAAAAAGGGCTTTAGACAAAAGTTTGGGAACCTCTGTTGTAGACAAAGATGAACTGTGAAATTGGGAATAGTAGTTATACTATAAAGATGATAGTTAAACGTTAGGGCAGATTGAGAAACTTTTCAGAATTTCATAAACCACTTATGCGAAAAAGATGTTCTCTGCTCTATAGATGAAGGGGCTAGAGTGAAATATAAAAAATTAGTCTTCTTTTAAGTACTGCCACAAGGGAAATGAAGATATTTGAGCTATTTTAAAATAAAAAGTCAATGTAATTTTGCCAAAAAAAGACAGGTACTTTAATAATTTTAACGTATGTTGGGATGCAAGGACATCCAATAAATAGTTACAAGAAAAAACATCAGGTGCATTTAACTGCTTTTAAAGTATTAAATATTTTTTTAAAAAAAAATTCTACTGACAAAATTTTAAATAACGATAAACCAAACGACGGAATTAAGCTTAAATCCACTGATTCGATAGTACGGGAAGAAAGAGCCGAGATTATGAAATGTTGCAATACACATTGTACTATTCACTACTCAGTGTTTGTCACCCATTCGGTATAGCGATTAGTGACAGTGAATCCCGGAGAAAGCACGGTGCAAATGTGAGGTGTGTTCGTGGCATGGGGGTACTCTGAACAGCCATCGAGCCACCTCTCGTTGGTGGAAGAAGAGAGGTGGGAGGCCCTAACCACTTCTAGGGTATTCTCCCTCAAAATTTTGGCGGAATGGAGATGAATCGCACTGTCTCCTCTCATGTGTCTATGGTGCTCAACTCCCCTTTACCGTATTTTTTCGTGAGCCTTGATTTAACGTTAGCGTCGACCAGGTGGCATAAGTAACAACTCAATGCTCACTTATCAATAATCGCATCACTTTTGGTTAGCAATACTGTAGTAATTAATTTTATTTTGTGTTTAAAAACATCTAACTCAAGTTAAGTTTCTTTTCACCACTTTCTTCGAAAATTCGCTCCCTTTGTGGCAATATTAAATTTTGAAATTTTTTTAAAAATCTTTTTTTTTTATTAACCCTCTACCCCAAAAATTTTTTTTCCTGGAATGTACCGATTAAAAAAAATTTTTTTTTTCCGGATATGACCGTATATCCGGGGGTAAGTTAGCATTTGAAAAGGGGGGGAGGCTACCATTAAACCCCCAAAAAATTAGGCAAAAAATAACAACATAAAAGATTAGGCAAATTAATATGAGTTGCTCATACAAGGATTGTATTCATTGTCACTTTCCAACCATACAAGGAAACGTTTACGTAAAACTGCAATATATATATGACTGTATTACTAGAAATTCTTAGTTACCGTAAGTTTTTCTCCATTTGGTGAAATTCTTTAAAATTCCCCCCTTTTTCCTGGTGAAAAAAAGGCCCGGGGTTTTGGCCTTGTCCTTCTAAAGGGTTTCCAATACCCTTCTTCCTGCTAGTTTTCCCCAAATTTTTTTAGTTTTCAAAACTGGGAGATCGAATATTAACATGTTCACATCTGTTCCAGACTCATCTTCAAAGATTTTTTATAAAGAAAACCCCTTTTTGTCTTTTATTTGTTTAAAATTTGATTTCATATATTTTCGTATTCCTTTAAAGACATCTATAAGCCATGGTAATTCTCTTTTGGATTTGGGAAATTTTACAAGGGTTTTCTATTGTTGTTTCCAAGGCTGAAATAAGTGAAATTTAAAAATTATATCCTTAAATTTTTTAAAGGGGAAACTTTAAAACGTGGTTTATTGCAAGGGATGTTGTGACGGGGGCTTTATCGGTATTTCTACTAATTGTCCTCTTTTAGTTTCTTTTTAGGCCTGAATGGCAATTCTTTTCCCTCCCAAAAAAGGAAGGGGTTTTTCCAAAAATTTTAAATCATATATAGGAATGTTGGCATTCGCGAGGATCATTGGGGAAAACCCCTTACTTTTTGTTGGTTTACCCCGTTTAGTATGGAGCATCTTTCAATTTTTCTACGATGCCTTTCAGAATCTGTAAAAGAGGGAAATC